CTGTGCTTCTAGCACAGTCTCCTTTACACCACTTGTACAACTCTTCTAGCTGTGCTTTTTAGACTTTCTACAGTAAGCTTTCTAATTTTCGTGTGGTTCTGCTCTTCTATAGTAGAGCAGAAACATGTTGGATGTCTCGGCCTTTGTTACTTAAATCTTTCAATAGGAAAATTCAGACCTGAGGTCTTGATGAGAGTTTCATCAGACAGAACTTCTTTTTCAATTAGTACTGACTAAATAATGATGAAATTTAACATCTTCAGAACAGAACTGTGTTTAGGTGATGCTGGAAGCACACAAGGTAGAGGACAGAACATGAGATTTTTATTCCATCAGCTCCCACATAGGACTGAAACAAAACTGCAGTCCCAACACATTTAGATATGCATCACAAAATGCACATCTCCCCTAGCTAATGACTGCTGTTGAAACAAGACATTCCCATAGCTACAAACAAGATGTCTTCACTTCATAATCTTCTACATGAGCATTGAAATAAATTACAAGGTCAGTTCTTACCCATTCTAAACAGAAAAAAAATATTGAACAGCCTTCCAAATAGATGAACGTCTAGTGAAATAAGCCTCTACCAAGAAACGCACACAGAAATCCCTGGGCAATAAAGGCAAAACTACTAGTTTGGACTGTAGCAGAAGGTAAATTACCTTGGATTAGTTTCTATAATATTTTCTACTCTTTTCTTTAATCTTTTTTCAGTGTACTAGTACGCACTGGATTAGATCCATCGAGTTTAATTACCTTCACCTCCCTCAAAGACACTCCGCTGTGCTCTTTCACAAAGGAGTTGCCGCTCTCATCAAGCCAGACTGATACCTGTCGTACAGCTCATGGCCGTGTACAGCAGAGCACACAAGCTCCGAGATAAAAGGGCTGCTAATTTTCTCAACGCTTTATCACCATTCTGAGGGAGTGAGGGAAGGCATGTGCTGTCCATTTGATACTTTGTCTTCCCTTTTGCTTTACCCCATTTGTTTCATGTTGTACACCCATGTGAAATTCTTTGATGTAGAGAGGGCTTTTTTGTTCTGTAGTACACCAGGGCTCAAAAACCATGGCTGGAGCTTGCAAACATTAATGCTGTGCATGTTATTTATGTATGTCATTATATTTACATTACTGTTTTAATGTATGTTTTCTTTTTCTTCCCTAAACAAACACAACCATTTATGACTCTACAGAAAGAAGGAATACATCTCAAAACTGATGAAATAAAGAAAATTTCAGAGCATAGCTGAAGAAAGAAGCCCCCCTGTTCTGCAGCAATAATCAACATAAGAAAACCCTTTGCAGCTGGAAATTCTGAAATCTACATTTGTCATACAAATTTAGCTTTTAAAATTATGAGTACTTTAAAGATGCAGATACACATCTAGAAGGATTTTAAAGAGGTTGAAATGAAGCCAGGTGCAGAAGTCAATGGGAATTACCATTTCACTCATTTACAGTCTTAATGAGATTTACAGAAGCAGGTCTCTGCATACTCCAGTGCCTTAGTAAATACAAAGCTAATCATACATGGTGACACCACTCTAGGAAAGCTGGTATGAGTGTCACACTTCTGGCAGGGAATGGGCATGCTTTAAGTAAACGGTTTTCTATGTTTTGCCAGCAGCCATTCGCAAGTCTGATCATTAATCATACTACAACAATGCAATTAATTTGGCATGACTGTACTGTAGGGGTAAAATTTGTAATGAAGATGTGGTACTGTTGTACCTCTGGAAAAAATCGGATTTGTAATGTTTCATGAGTATTATGTAGTTTATAATGGTTACTGTTAAGAAAATAGAATTAATAAAGTGTTAAAAGAATAAGAGGCAGTAGGCAGGAGAAATCTTACTATTTATCATTCGACCAACTCTAAATATTCTAGGTTTTGGGTGTTTCTCCCATTCACATTATTAACTTTTTTCAATCCCTTTCCACTTACCAAGAAAATTAGGTTTTCATTTCACTTCAAATGCTAAATGGAAGGTAAATGTATATTTATAATACTTAAGAGTAATATCTACTTGGACTTTTGGCTCTATTAGCAATAGGTGTTCTTTAGAAGATCAAAAACATAAGGTCATTGTTGTCATTGTGGGGTTCTTTGTTTTTATTTTTTACCAGATAACTACTTTCACCTCCCTGGAATCCAGCCTGTAGTTGGCAAATTTCACCTGATTCAGAAACAACAGAACTTCAACAACATTCAGTAGTTTTAGACCTCACCATATACTCCGAAACCAGTCAACTGTTCAAGTCAGTCACTCCCATTCTGCTCTTGTCAGCTTTTCTTTTATTTCCAGCTACATTTCTTATTTCAACCCTGGTAAATGCTGCTACCACGACCCTCCCCTTTCCCTATACATATATATATATATATACACACATTTATATATATATATATATACACACGTATAAAAATCTCTATTGAAAGAGAAAGCCCTCAGAAAGCATTTAAGCACTGACCACTACCCCCAGTGACTCGCCAGTGCATTGCCTCTTGCCCTTAGCAGATGGATGCTACTGAGGGCAGGGATTTCTTCCTCCTGTTTCCAAAGTTCTTAAGCACATTGGGGTTGGCACACCAAAAATAATGACTCATGAACCTTGGTCAACTCTGTTCTTTCCTTTGCTTCTGCAGAAAAAATTTGGGGGAGAGAGGTTGAAAATTCAATAGATTTACAATGTGATGACACATGACATTAATTTTTCACAGACCTGCTTTACTAAAATATGCCATAGGTTACCATCAGCAAAGTAGGGTGTAAAAGCAGAACACTATAGGAAAGCTTCCCTGGTAGCCTACGAGCTTTGAGGGCCTCCACAATATTCAAACCCACATCTAACTAAAACAGGCATCTTAACTTTGGCTTCTCTGAGTTACGTTCACTGGTCCAGCTGCACAGTGGGGCTTTGTGCAGCTATTGCTTCTTTTTGCCACTGCTTTTCATGTACTCTAAGTTTTTATTTCATCTCTCCTTTTATCCTGCATCTCTTCTACACTGATAAATTAAAAAAAAAAAAAAAAATCTGAGCCATAAGCATGTGGTCTATCTTAACTGAATTACTTTTTTTTTTTCTCCTCAGATGCTAAGGTAACTAGTGGATCCTTTCTACCCACATATTTATACAGGACTTGGTGCACTGGTTGGACTTATTGGGCTACTCAATATTTCCTATAAATCCCAGTGTCATAACAGTTCATACTCAGAAAACAAACAAAATGAGATATCCTGAATCCATAATATTTCTTCTTAAAACAAATTAATACTCATAGATGTATACATGCATAAAAATTGTTCTAATTTCTGAAAATACGATGCAGCAGCAGACTTTATTATTATTATTTGCTGCAACTAGAATGAAGATGACATTCAGCACAAAGTACTGGGAAGAATGTGCAGTTGAAAAATTTCCACACATAATTTATCTCCCTAAGAAATCACAAGGAAATGCTAGTCCCCAAACCTGCTATTGGATCCATGGGAGGCTAAGGTGGCCTCCAAAACAGCGGGTATGAAGAGGAATTGGTTTTGTATAGGTTCAACAGCTGGGAAAAGGAGCTTAAAAATTATGTTTTGATTGTAACTATTCCAACTACAGCTAGAAACTTAGTATTAAAAGTTTCTTGCCATCCAGAAGCTAACAAGCTTAATTTTCTGATTTAACAATCAAAACATTCTAGAAAGACCATTTTCAAAACTGTCTTTTATAAACTGATTTAAAAAGAAGATAAAATTCTGCTTCAGGGTGCAGGGAATATTCAATTTTTATTTTATTTTGCAAAATATACTAGGATAAAGACAGACAATTTTTAGAATATCATTTTTTCATTAGATCTGCAGGATAAAAAGCAAATCTTTATATAAATAGCTACAAGTTACATGAAAATCAGGTGCTGGACAGTTTTTAGAGATTCGTTTCTGAATCAAATGGAGGGAAGCCAAGTAGCACTTGGCTACTGCAAATTTTGCTTGATAGCAGCAGCTAGCCAGCCAGCCAGCCAGCAGGCATGTCGTTTCAGAAAAGCCACAGCAGCTACACACACTAATGAGCGTGAGATGGGTAAGCGACTGTTACACAGTAAGTCAGATTTTGTTAACTCATGTGAAAACAGGCTAACAGGAACTGGAATAATTTCAAGAAAACAAAACAAAACAAAACAAACAACTGTTCACAAATTAACCATCTTGTACTGATATTTTGGCCAAGGTTGACTTCTTTCTAGATAATTCTTTGCCCAATGTGCCTATCAGAGATCTCAAAATATTTGCATTGATAACACTTTATTAACATCAATTTCAAAATTTGTAACATTTCTAAACCATTTCAGTTCTGTCAGTTTCTCTTTCACATTACAAAAATGCCAGAAACATCCAATTACTTTTTATCACTTCCCACTCAGAGAAGCCCTCTTTCCCCTCTCTGATTTCTGCCTGTAACTAGGCCTAACTTATTGCTTGCAGTTTGTGCGTGTGCAGTTCTGAAAAGTTCTTTTTTTGTTGTTGTTATACGCCTGTGGAGTTTTTATGCATTAGGGTACTGTTCCAGAAACACAGAAGACTAGGTAAAGTGTTCCAAACAGCTCAAATAAATTACCAAAGAGATTTTCTGAATTCCTTTCAGAAGGGTACTGCTTAGCCCTACCCTCCTCCCTTTGCAGTAATCACTGGAAGGTATTACTGAAACATATAAATCACCCCCTGGTGGTGTTCATCTACTGAAGACGTCAATTTCAAGCTTGATTAATAGACCCAAATGAAAGTTTTGTGACAATCAAAATTTCAGTCTTACTCTCTACTGTTACAAGCAGAAGTTAAAGCTTTTTCATCTTTCGTTTTCCCCTTTGTTAGGGTGAGGTGATTTTGCATCTAAATGTAATAAATGCATGTAATATGATGAAAGACAGCAGTCATCTCAAGGCAATTACAAAGATACATCACATACTGTAAATATTGCTTAACATGTTTTTTGTTTTACTTCATCCTTTGCTTGTATGACTAAATTAAGGAATCTGAATCTCCCCTGACAATTTTGTCTCACAGCTTCTCCAAAACGAATAACAAAAAGGAGTAGCTGTGTTTAGTCCCAAAATAATAAAAATGGTAATTGCTAAGACAAAATGTAGGAGAAAATGTGACACTCATGCAGGGATTTTTGCAAACCACTTGTTCTACTGGCTTTACTTTATCAGTGCTGAACAGAGTTAAATGACTTTTGTAAGAGAATAGCTTAAATGAGATACTTAAACAGACCATCATGCAACACCAACACTCTTGCAACTTTCCTACAATGCCTACTATACTACAGTCAATGAAAGGCAAATATTTTAGATATATTTAAGCGTGTGGGTATATACGCAATTAAGACTGATTAGTCCTGTAGTTGCAAATTTGCCATTTGCAAGCCACATTTTATAAATACAAAGTTTTTAATGTGCTTCTGAGTCATAAAAGCAACCTTCACAAACTATTTGATTTCAGGGTAGGACACAGGGCAGGTTACTGTCAACTCTAACTAAGCAGTGCAGGCAAAAACTTAGTAATTGGGTCAAAACAAGTTAGATTTAATGTAAAGGCAGCTGATTTTGCCACAATGAACCACCAAAACACCATATTTTTTGTCTCAGAACAATATAGCACAATGACAAAACCGACATTCAATTACTAAGGAGATATTGAGCTGTTCATGCACTAACAAAGTGTTTTCCCTTTGGAATACAAAACTGTTACAACGTTTCTGATCTATCTTTAGTACAAGAGTTTGATCCTTCTAAGCAATATCCTTGAGCATCTCCTTTAAATCGACATCAAAGCCAGTAAACCAGTTTCAAAGGAAGAAGAAATTCTTAGATAACTACGAATTCCTACTCCATGAAAGATACTCCCTTTTGCAACAGTTAATAAAAAAAAAAAATAAAAATAAAAAAAAGCCTTTCGTCCTTGAATTTGTAAAGATAAGCTATAACGATCAGCTGAAGTTCACTGAGCTACGGCTGAAGCCCACGTCTACGCCAGGTACAGCTCTGCAGCTGCACAAGGTGTTTTTTAAAAAACGCGGAATTAAACTTAAAATTCAAAAGATAACTTGCAGGAGAGGTTTACAGTCAGCCTCAGTGTCAGTCCCCCTCCACAGAAACAACCGACAGGAAGCCATCGGAGACCGGGGGCGGCGGGGGGGCTCTTTCCAAAATCGGGGCTTTATTTTCTAACAGGGGAACTGCAGAAAAACCCCAAACCAAACCAAAACCCTCCACCCTTTCCGCCT